ATCCAGCCCTGACCAAACTGCAACAAAAAAATAGCCAGGTGTTGTGGTGGACACCTGTAGTCCCAGTTACTCGGGAGGCTGAGGCAAGAGAATCACCTAAGCCTAAGAGCAGGAGGTTGCTGTGAGCTGTGACACCACAGCACTCTACCAAGGGTGACAAAGTGAAACTCTGTCTCTAAAAAAAAAGGTATTTAACCAAGTACAATATGAAAGATGGCTTTTACTGGGGAACGAAACTAAAGAGGGTGAACAGAGACAACTTTCATAAGGTACCTTTCTATACTATTTACTATACACACGTATTAGATTCTATAGGACCTACAGCACTAACAGGACAGACCTATTTTCAGACGTGTATCTTATACAACCATTTAATTGTGTGCTTTTTGGGTACAAGTAATTAGCAAAGCTCTGAAGTGAAAACTGGTTCTACCTCTTGCATAAAAATGTAGGATACACCAGGATAGCTGGTCAAGAACTTTACAGTGGAGTTTTCCAAACGTTCCAGCAACACAATGGAACACAGGGGAGAAAAATTCTGCATCGCCCAGCGTCTGTCATCTGTAAAGAGAAAAATGAACCACTTTAGTAGTAACAACTATGGCTTGGCGCCTGTAGCTTAGTGGCCAGAGCACCAGCCACATACACTGGAGCTGGTGGGATCGAATCCAGCCCCGGCCTACAAACAATGACAACTACAACCAAAAAATAGCTGGACACTGTGGCAGATGCCAGTAGTCCCAGCTACTTGGAGGCTGAGGCAAGAGAATCACTTAAGCCCAAGAGTTTGAGGTTGCTGTGACGCTATAGCACTCTACAGAGGGTGACAAAGTGAGACTCTGTCTCAAAAAAAAATAGTAGTAGTAACTACATAAAATTCTATGTCCTTTAGGATTGGCAACTCCAGGGATAAACTATAAACTTTTCGAGAGTAGGAATTATATTTGAGCACCTTTTTCAGAAGGTCATGTTGCATAACAGGAACGCATCTGGCTAGGTTTGCCACATACTAACTTTGTGGCCTTCCACGATTATAGCTGTAAAATGGTGAAAACAGTAGTATGTCTTTTCATTCTCAAGGCCCCCTCTGGGAGTTTAAAAAAATTGCTTACTGCAAAGGCCAGACCACTGATTTTCAACAGGTGTGCTATGTAAATTTTTAAAGATCATTAATTAAATTATTTTTAAAAGAAGTTCAAAGCAAAGTATGTTCTTTTTTTTTTTTT